TAGCTTGTAGCTTGTTAATCCTTTATTCCCTCAATGTGGTTCATTAGAGACAGAATACGAAAATCCAAAATCCAAGTGCCTTCCTGCAGGTAAGAGGGCATATGCAGTTGTCAGACTGCATATTTTGCAGCTTATGGTTGTAACAACTGTAGCTTAGCTTCTGACTTTTTTTTTTAAAGAAAAAAAAAAGGAAGTGGTGTTTTAATTTTTTCCAGTTTAACTTTTCTGATGGTACAAATGAGAAGTATTAGTAAGATGGCTGAAGAGCGTAACTGAAGAAGTTCCCCCTGTTGCAGTGGCTAGTGTGCTTTAGGCGTGGCTCCTAAGGAGTTGATTTGTGGGTGGCTTCTCATTCCATTACAAGTTCAATATTGAGACTGCCCGCTTCTTATAAAGTGCTAGTAGGTGCTACGGTGGAACTGGAGGGGAAAGGTACCTTTCCAAATGTAAGTGCAATTAATGTCCAGCTTCCTGCAAAGCTTAGCAGGCAGCCTTGAGGGAAGGCTACACTAGGTGTCATTTGAAATTCTCAACCATTTAGACCTCGAGGAAATGTTAGGTTTGCCTGTTAGCCAAGCAGCAGTCCTTCACAGCTGGCTGTGCTGCTATTTATTTACTGGAAAAGGTGAGAAGGACCCATGTCCTAATCAGGACAGGCTCAGGCCTCTGTCTAGAGACTTGTGGAGTAACTGAAGGTGTGTATGTTACACTGGTCTAAATCCCAGATAAATCCATTTTAAAACATGCAGATCATGTGGGACCTGCTCTTTCCGAGCCTTACTGAGTGACTATATACTTCTCAGCCATTGCTGGCAAACCTAAACCTTTTAACACAAAATTTTGTGTGGCAATGCAAACGCTAACTCTACTCATCTTGGGGCCTGCATGCAAGTGCTTTGGTACGGAGTGAGAAAAGCCCAGGTTCCTGTCCCTGCAGGATGTCCAGTAGCTCTGGCAGACCATGTGGTTGTGCTAATTGATATGAAAACTCTCTGATGAGGTGACAGAGACATAAAACTGCTAAATACTTGGCTAAATTGTGAATCCTGCTCTGCATTTGAGTTTGTGTGTCTGAACCCTTTTCCCCTTTAATAACCAGCTGGCGAGTCTGTCCTTCCTGCAGTTCCTTTTGTCTGTTTCTTCTGCAGTTTTAATGCCAAATCTCACACATAGTAATTCCTGAAACGGAAGTCCCAAACACTTCGTCATGTCTGGGGAAAACATGGCCAGGAGAGAGGAACTTCGTTAAAATAAGACAGCAGGAAATAATGAGTGCAACCTCTAAATACTGCTAATGTTTCTTGTTTCCTTCAAACACTAGTGCACCATATGAAAATCTAACTGCTTTTGAGGTTCTAAACTGCTGAAACTGTGTTTTGCCCTACTCAGTGGTAATCCAGCTGTTGTGAAAATTGACTTCCTACTTTATAAAGTAAGTGGGCATTTTCCTTTCAGGACAAGTCATTTGCTTTTGAAGACCACTTCTGCAGACGCTGAACACCTGTCCCCCATAGAATGAGTTATTTTATTATGGGTAAATAAAACCTAAGCTATAGTCCCATAGCAGATAGCAATAGAGACGGGGTCTGTGAATATAATACTCACCTCAGGGTAGATGCTCCCAAGGTGGGTATTCTGCAGTGGTTAAACAAGTTGCTTATCAGTTGCTTCAGGTGCCCATTGTTCCCTTTGACACTCCATAAGTAGCTGAGCTTTGTGTAGGCAGGTAATTGAGGAGTAATGCAATTTCTTTTAAACAAACTCATTTGTGCAACAGGAAGTCCCTTCTGGGGAGGTGGGGGCGCTGTTAGGTCATAATGAAAATGCTGCTGTTCTTCAGAAAAAAAATTCTACCTTTCGAACAATTCAGTACAAAAGAGCAGGAGTAAACAAAGTAGTGTTTTAAGTGCTAAAGTAAGGGTGTGCCCCTGTGTGCATGCGCACACGTGCGCGCACACACACACACAAACGAAACTGAGATCCATCAGGTAATTTAATTCACAAAGAAGTATGTACCCAGCATAGAAAGGAGTGCTTAACCCAATAGTAGGGAATGAAAGACCTTTTGTTTTGGTGCATCAAACTACAATGCAGATTGTCCCTTGCCTTTAACAGCCAGATGTCTTTGGCAACACTCATCATGTAATAGGCTGAAGGAGCTGGAAATTTCTGCTAAATTGGTATTTACATACCACATACTGTTGGACACCCAGAGAATGTCTTTCATTTCAGCGAAACTGCTTGCAATAGAGATAATCTACAATGATGTTTTTAATAGCATCTCTCTGCCTTTGGAATGGCATTATTCAGCTTTGATGGGAAGTATGAGGAGTGCTGTATTGGTGTATGCGTGCACACACAGTGCTGAGCTTTTTCTGTCTGTCTTGCAAACTGATCTTAGCCAGTAATGTTTTCTTTTCTTCTTTTCTCATTTCCTTTCCTATGATGCGTTACCTTTCTTTCCACTGTTCTCCCATCTTTTCCTCCGTGTCCTTCATACACCCTGCCTACAACCTGGTATGCCATGCCCTCCTCCTGCTAGCTGGAAACCTTAGCCTGCAGCAGATTGTAAATCCGGTTGATCCTCTGGAGATCCTGGCAGATGTTCACTGGACACACATCCGTGAAAAAGAGGAGGAGGAAAAAATGGTCCCAACTTCAAAGTCCTCCACCTCCAGAGGTAATCTCCCCCAAGCCCCACACTGTCAATTCCTGGATCACGGTTGCAGCTGTTTAACTTTGTTGCTTCTGTGCCCTTCAAGAGCAGTGTACTTCAGCAGGGGCAGCAGTGATTGAAAGGAACTGCTTTCAAATTACACTGAAATTACACTTGGTTAAACATTTTGCTTTTCAGGTCAATGTCTACTTAAAATGACTGCTTTCTCAGCTCCGTGGTGGTGTGACTTCTTCTGACCTGTTTGTCTGGCTGCTTTGACTCCACACCAGTTTTCCTCACTACATACATGATTTGATAGTGCTGGCAATCAGCCCTCAGTGACGGACTTTAGAGATAGTAATAGAAGCTGTCATGTGCTTTTTGTGGCAGTGAGGACTCTACACCTCTTTAGGGAAAGCTGAAGGGCTATCTTGTGTAACTACTACAGCAAAGATTGAACAGGGTCAGCTTCTGTATTGAGTGTATTTCTCTGCTGCTGCTTTTCAAAGTGTGTAACTGCATCTGGTATTAGTAGGGAATGATGGGGTTCAAAGGGCTTGCAAATCTGATCAGTGGTGGTTTTGACTCCCTGTGTTTAAGATTTGACAGTATATCTGTTTTTTAAAGTGAGCTGTGACCTTTGTGAGTTGCCAGTTACTTAAAGGAAAACTTTGGAGGGGGAAAATGTCAATAGTCTAGCTCTCTTGTAAGCACCCTCCAGCAGTCCCTGCTGACCTTATTCAAGGACTATATTACAGCATGTCATAGACTCATAGAATAGTTTGGGTTGGAAGGGACCTCTAAAGGTCAGCTAGTCCAACCCCCCTGCCGTCAGCAGGCACATCTTCAACTAGATCAGGTTGCTCAGAGCCCCGTCCAACCTGACCTTGAATGTTTCCAGGGATGGGGCATCCACCACCTCTCTGGGCAACCTGTGCCAGTGTTTCACCACCCTCAGCATAAAAAATTTCTTCCTTATATCTAGTCTAAATCTACCCCCTTTTAGTTTAAAGCCATTCCCCCTTGTCCTGTTGCAACAGGCCCTGCTAAAAAGTTTGCCGCCGTCTTTTTTATAAGCTCCCTTTAAGTACAGATAGTCTTAAGGTATGTCATAGGTGCTTTACCTGTGCAGAAGCCTAGGCTTAATAAGTGTTAACCATGCAGTTGGTGAGTAGTGGTCTTCTCTCAGAGTCTGTAGCCATTGTTCCAGAATTGTAGAGGAAGTATGCATGCTGTGGGAAGGGGTGTCTTTTACAGCAAATGTGAAATTAAGTTGATGACTGATCTCTATTAGAAAAGCCTAGGGCTTTACCTCATGTTGCCTGATCATATTCCATTTCAGATAATTATCTTTTCCTCATAGTTCTAGATGTTTGGGGATTTTTTTTTTCAATCCTGGTCCAACTTGATACACAGTTCCAGATCAGTTTGGCTATGCTTATAATTGCAGTTTGTAGAATGCGCTAGGATTTTCTGATGTGAAATCTGCTCCTTACAAATAAGAGATGGATATTTCCTTCCCACTGCAACCACAGAAATAGGCTGTGTTCAACTGTCTGTAACATTCAGTATTGCTAGAGTAGTTGCTTAACGTTTAAAATGCTAAGTAAAAAATGTTAACACAGTTTCTTAAGCTTACTACAATTAAGGTTACTTTAGCTTCTGCTGAGGGTCTATATCACTACACCTTCCAAATTTTTCTTTTAATTTGTGTTTTATAATTCCTACTTTTCCATAGTGTATTGGTACAGCTGCCAGCAAAAGATGATCCTTCCAAAATTGATTTTGTGGTCTTTCCAACTTCCTTTGGGGAAGAAGGCTGTATTTCCTTTCCTTCCCCTAAAACTGGGGCAAACTAGGACAATCCTGATCAATAGATTAGCTGCTTCAATTACTTTGTCATACAGTACACGTGTGTGCAGGCGTATCAGCAGTTTGCTTTTTTAAAGGGCTGTCACCAATAAGTACTTACGGATACACTATAAGTTTTCAACCTGAGTTCAATAGACAAATTTGTTCCTGGCTGAGCTGTATTCTGTGATAAGAGGTGTTTGGAGAGCCCATCAGTAGCAGCGGCGATAGGGTTTGATGTGAAAGCCTGGGATAGCGTGACGGTACACAGAAGCCCCTCTCATTCTGCTTTGGGCGCTCTTCTTCGTCTGGCATTCGCACCTGGGCAGCAAAGGTTCTGGGATGCCTGTTATGACCGCCTCTCTCTCGTTGCTCAGCTCTTTCATCTCTTAGTTTCCCCCTCCTCCGCAGAGTTTCAAGTGGAGCACAGCAGCAGCAACCTGCTGGTCAGACGCGGTGTTTTCCTCACTGTGCCATCCGTATTTCCTCTAACATTACAGATCCTAAAGGAAGATTAGGCCCCTGACATTTGTATGTTACCTCGATTTAAATCCCAAGCCTGGAATCAGTTCTTTAACATCTCATAGGTTTTATTCCTGTATTTGCCACTGAAAAATTTCCCTTTGTCACTCTTCTGTTTTAGACGCTTACTGATGGTCTAATTTTGATTTCTTACAATTTATTGTTTTTTAAATTCAGCATCCGACCTTCCCTCCGTACGCCATGAGGCGGTACAGGCGTGGCTGGAGACGGTCCCTGGAGGTAGTTTGGTGATGTTCTATGTATTCCAATGCACAATAACCCTGCCCGTCTCTTCTCCATGCCTTCAGCAGCTGAGCTGGTACTTTAACCCTGGAACTTACAGCCCTGTCGCTACTGCATGACTGGACGTGGAGGGAGGGCGGAAGGGGGAGTGTGCATGCACGCCTTGCTCAGACAGTCCATTCTTGCATGAACTCGACATTTGTTGTAACCCTTCTGAAGGCAGGCCAAACAGAGAGGTTAACGTGGGTGTAATAAAGTAAAAGGAGGAATCTAGTTGAGTGCTTTGATTTGCTTTGTAGACTGAAGATTGGACCAGTTATTCTTCCCCTAGCTCCTTGACTAAAAGAACATGGGGCTTTCTCGCAGTCGAAAGATTAAGTGACAGAGTGTGCTTAAAGCAATTGCAGTTCTCTAGCAACTGCAAACTCTAGTTATCTGGTGAAGAAAGAAGGCTAAGGTTGAAGCTGGGATCTTTAGGAATAGCGATGGCTGTGTCTCTTTTGACTTGGGGTTCACGTTATTTAGGAAAGCCTCAGAAAAGTTGAAGGATTGTAGAGCTCAGCTGCTTTTTTTATGTGGTCCTCTAAGCTCTATTATAAAACTAATGAGCATGAAGATTCTGGGATTAGAGTAAGGGAGTAAATTTGTGTAAAGCGGTGAAGGTATCTAAATCAGTGGAACAGCAGTAGTTTGTGGCTAGGTAGTTGGACTACAGCTAAGTTGCTTTGGCACATCAAAATAGCTAGCTTGCCTATAAAACTTTGCTTCTGCTGCTGCTTTGGCAAGGCAGCAGTGTTTACAAGATGTCTGCACACGATGCAGTCTGCTCACGGCTGCTAGCTGATATGAAGTGCTGATCCCAGTTTCTGGCTGCTATAGTGTGTAGCTTCTGAGTTATTGTGTGACAGCTTTTGGCCTCCTGCTCCTTATCCTAACTGCGTATACGTATATGCACAGTATATGTATAATGTAACCAGCCACCTGCAAGCTCTCCATGTCCCTCAAAATGGGATCCACTCTTGCACCAAGTTGTTACTTATCTATGCATCTGTAATCTTCTGTTGAGTTTTGTGTACCAACCTAAGAATTGATTTTCTCCTATCTCTCCAACACTCCCTATGTGTGTCATGTCAGTTCATGGTTTCTGGATCTGAAATCATACATACACATAGTGGTATCAGATATTCCTAATATCAGTTACATTTTGCAAGTTTTGATTAAGATTACTCGCATTTGCTGCTACCATAAAACCATCCCATGACATCATTATTTCCAAAATAACATAAGCTACCGCATACCTAAGCAACAGACTGGGACACAGTTTGGTTTTGTTCACTAGATTTGTAAATGCCCCTGTGGGTAGTCCAGCTTTTGGCATATGATTGTCCCCTACGCTTGACATCTGTAGGACTCTGGATTTTTATAAGCTTCATGAAGGAATAGGCCAGTGCTTTATCACACGTAAGTGTAACTGCCTTTTCACAGTAGTTGACAGAAAATAAACTAGCTGATATGTTTGTCTTAATACTGCAGAGGGGAAAAGCATGGAAAAAGAGAAATTCTCAGGTTGAAGGAAGAAAACAAACCACCCACTGAAGGCTGTGTTTTGAAATAAGCAAAAACCTGTATTAGAGAAAGAGGAGAGGCTGCAAGACCTCAATTTTAGGGAGGGTTGGTTTGTTTTCAAGATTGTCTTAATTAGCAATGCTAGCATATAAATGGTTCCAAAAGCCACATCGTCACTAGTAAACAAAAAGGATCAGGGCCTACTCTCTGACTCAGGAGAAAGCTGGCACAGCATGATTCACTCCCACATGGCTAAACTTTTTTCCCCAGAATCGGGCAGTTGCATCCGGACTGCCTGTTGGAAACAGCCTCTAGCCCTACCATGGGAACTAACTGCTGGGAGTCATGCCAGGAGCCCTCCTAAAGGTGACAGTATGACACTGTATGCATTCAGGTCTAGAGACTTGCACCGCTTAGTTTACTGGTATAGGTGCAACCAAGAAGGTTATAAATATATCTGTTATCATCGTTATAGGACCATATTCTATAAGTATAATTTGCAAATGTTGTACATAATAATACATGCTGACTGTGTATGCATTTGCAATAGGATATACAACAGAGTTAAATGTCTGCATGTTGTTGAACATGATGCTAACTCACTGCACAAATCTAAAAATGTAGTTGACTGACTCTACTGTGGAAAAAACCTGGAAGTGCTTGCTTCTTTTTTTATATTTACATTACATTTTATGAAAACGCTTAACAAATAAAATATTAAGCAAATCATCCATAGCACTAGAGATGGGACAAGGTGTCATACGGTTTAGGTTTTTTAAAAAAGTATCATTTAATAATGAAATTTAGACCCCACAGTTTGGTCTTGTCTCTCCTCCTGTAATTAAATCCTGCCGCAAGTAGTAATGTCAAATGCCCTTTTCAGAGTTATAAATTCAAGAATCTTTTCTTTATTTTGACCCAGCAAATCAAATTATGATCTGTAACAGAAAAGAAAGGTTTGAATATATCTTTTTATTTACTTTAAAATATCTCAATTAATTTGTGACCTAGTTACTTGTACAGCATATCAAGTCTCTTAGACCCTTTTACCAAAGACTACTATAGCTGCACAGAGTTAAACAGTTTCCAGATGTAATAATGATCAAGCCCAGAGCTAGACTCTGTCTCTGACTTACACTCTCAAAAGCCGAACAGTTGTGGTACATTGTGAGATTTCAGTTTTCACCTAATACACGTATGCTATAAAGTGGTGGTGACTGTTCTGGTGTGGTAAAGAAAAAAAAGTAATCTTGCTGGAAGAACAGTAAACTTTTTTCTGGTTTGATGTCTTCCCGGTCCCCTTCTTGTTTAATTTTTCACAAGGCCTGTTGCTCAGAAAAGCCCTGGCTGCTTTCACTGCAAATGCCTTGGAGACTCCCCAAGGGCAGGCGTTCCTTGATTCGTTGGAGTCTGGAAGTATCATTTCACCATAGATGTCTTTCCAGGTGACACATTTCAGGATTTCTTGTTTTGGCAGTAATTAATAAATATCTCCACTATAAACTGTTGGTACAGTTCAGTGTAGAACCTTTTCACTGTATAGGTTTTTTTCTTTTCTTTTCTTTTTTTCCTCAATATTTGAATATATTTTAGCTCCATGTGAGGATAATGATGTGGAGGATGAGCTGGGCACAGAGCCTGCAGACACAGAAGGGCAGGCAGGTGAAGAAGGAGACACGGGTGCAGAGCTGGATGACGGTAGGGTACCACCGTGCATCATTTAAACCTGTTATATGTACAGAATTGTATTGGCAGAAAATACTTTGTGTGAGGGTACTTAAACCTGATCTTATTTTTAGCGATGTAGGAGTTTGTTTCAAATAGTCAAGAAGGAGCCAGGAGTGAAGGACAAAAAGAAACAGAAGAACCTCAATGCTATGGGTTATAGAATAAATTTCTCATGTCTTCTCACCATCTGCTAACTAGAGGGCTTGGTCTTGTGTCCATATTCAGTACTAATCCTGTAGAATAACAGAAATAGAAGTAAATGTGTGAAAAGTCCACAAAATTATGCCAAAAATTGCTAGTGTAAAATTAACTGCATATGCCAGAAAATATTGAAAAATTTTCAGAAAACTGGTAAGGTATAACTTCAATTACTAGTTTAGTTATTTGTACTAATAGTCCATCATTTACTGCTTAAATGACTCTAATTAGCACACAAAAAAAGGAGTGAAACATTTAAGTGTTCAGGTTATGAAAATGATTAGCACCATGTGAATAGAAAGAAAGGATTATGAAAGATTTTTAAATAATAAACAGATGTCCTGATGGACTTGTATCCAAGATCTCTTGGTTTTTTCCCCCGTCCCATCTGTGATCAGATGACATCCCGTCTGATGCAGAAGCGGAGTTTCGCTTACATCAGGGTGGCGTAGAAGAGCCAGAACTAAAAGTCTCTGAAGATGAAGATGAAGAAGAAGGAGCAGAAAGTGCTTCTTGCAGTGTGACAGAAGGTAATAGCTTTCCCATCAGTGTTTGAATTATCGTAATTGCATTTGAGATAGTCTATACATTTATTAGGTTTAAGAGAAGACAGTCTTGGATTTGAACCATCTGACTACTCTCAGTAGCAAGGTATGTTGCTTGCATTAACATTTTGAGAAGAACGTTCTGAATCCATTAATTACAGCTTCCTAAAGTGTGAGAACCCATGTAACTGCTTTTTCTTGTAGAAGTTTTTACATTAAGAAGCTTGTACCATTTTTGACATGTAAAAATTTTTGTCCATGTTCCAGATGTCCAATCTACAAGTTGTAAAAAGCTGAGAAATTTGTCACTACTTGCTGTATGTAACATAAAAAAAATAGATTATTAGCAGTCTCATGTGTTTTTTGGAAACATTTTTGCTTTCCCTAGATCCATGCAAGCCATCCATCCCTATCCAGTCATCTAGTGACAGTGTTCTTCCTCTGTCTCCAGTTGATAGTCCCAAAGCAAAACAAGCAGAGGTAAGAAAGGAAATCTTTGAAGTTTTCTACTTACTACCTGTAGTTCAATAGAACAGTTTGTTGGATAAATTAATGAGGACTGACAGCAGTGGGCTTTCCTCCTTTCCTGTCTCTATAATTTATGTTGATCTTCTTGAAATCTGACTTCATTTAGGCTTACAGAATAATGTACTATCTTTCTTTCCTATCTTCAGAGTGTAGTGGCTCTGGCACAGTCACACAAGTTCCCATCACAAAGCCCCAAAAAGAATTATATAGGTTATTTTAATTTAAATGTGCAGTTAACGAGAGAGAGAGAGAGAGAGAGAGATAATGCATGAGGGGAGCCATAAGTAAGGTGTTTCCTGTTTATCCTGGTTTGGCTATCTTTTCTGTACCAGAAGCAGATTCGTACAGTTGCAATTCAAAATTGTAATTATATTAGTAGTAACCAAAGCAGTGCTTATTTATTCCAGAGAAACAGCATAGTTCAGCTTAAGGAAGTGAGACATGTCAATGATGTACTGTCATGCTGTCAGCCCTGGAGTCAGCATGCAAGCATACTGTAGTGTTTCCAGCTATTGGTGTGTAAAAGCAGGACGTACATGATCCTTAAAATGTTCAATTCAAATTTTTCCCTCCCAAGTGTTTGTTTTTAAGGAATTACTAAAAGATTAGACTTTATCCTAGAGACTTTGTCATAAAATATTTTACTTTTACAATGGACACTTTATGGGATAAGGCTGGTTTGCAGACAGCAATTGCTGACAAGATTCACTTTCTATTAAAATTAAGGGGGTTTTTTTCAGGACCATCTAAAGATTCTGTTAGACATAGTTATTGTTTATATCAGGACAGTGCCTAAATGCAGTACTCAAGACCTGGGTGTTTAATATGTGTCATACAAGCACACAGATAGAGAGATTCATGCTCTGATGGTCAAGTGTCAGTTTAACCAAACTGTCTGCATTCAAAAGAAAGCTGGTGCAAAAGATGTCATTGGAAAGAATAACACCAGAACTCAGTAACAGGAGTCCACTGCCAAAGGGTTAAAGTGTAAAACATGAATTGTGCTACTGAGTAATATGGCAGTCTGGATGTAGGAAATGAAAACCAAGACTTCTCAGACCATTAAGGGTCAAGGGAATTGCAGCCTAATTTACCCTTAACAGAGAAAGCACCCCTTGCTTTAAGAAAACATTACAGCAGATGCTAGCCAGCAGAAAGTGGTGTATTGATGAGAGCTGGAGAGACTTGCATCAAATCTGTCTGAGGTAAGGGACCACCACAATACACAGAGTTGGGAGATTCGAAGGGAAAGCAGGAAAAGTAGAAATGGATTTTTGGAATTTAGTTTAGTGTTTTTTTCTTCCAAAAATTAAATTTGCCTTGTTGTCATCTACAAAGGATGGTTTATACAATGGGGCAGAAAAATGAACCATACCTGATGAGAAACCCTAAGTGATGTTCCAGGCCTGCAAATGGGATGCCACATGTGGATTTTTTCGTATTTTGATACTTGGATGGTTTCCTTATTGCTAACTTTGTTAAAAGCAAAAAAAATGGAACAGTATTCTGATGTGCCCCCTGACTATTAATATTTCCCTTTTTCATTTTTTGCAGGATGTAAAAGATCCCCTGGCTGAAGTATCCCATGCAATAAAATCTCCAGAGGCACGCTTTTTTCCTGAGCCTTTCATTCTTGAAGAAGGACCAAAGGATGAAATGCCCAAAGACAGGAAAGTTAAGAGCCCTTTGGTGCCACCATCTCCAGTGCTATCCCAGCCAGTTGCATCACCAGAAGCCATTGCACCTACATCACTAGCAGAGTCTCAGCCAGCAGCACCAACATTGGCTTCATCCCCAACATCTGCTCAAATGCCTATCTGTTCCCAGCCTTTGCCTTCTGCCGAAACATCCATTCCATCCCCAGTGGAGCCTCCAGTATGTTTCCAACCTGTCCCAGCCTTAACATCTACTCCTTTAGCCAAACTGGTCCTTAGGGGTCAGGATAGTGAGGTGGAAAAACTGGGGAGCCCTACTACTGCTGAAGAAGCCCTGAAACGGAGTAACCTTGTGGAAGAGTTCTGGATGAAGAGTGCTGAAATCCGGAGGAGCTTAGGGCTCACTCCAGTAGACAGAAACAAACGCTTAGAGACAAACTTTACTGTATCTGCCCTTGAGACAACTCCTCTCAAGACTTTTAATAGCGAGAATGTTTCAGGGGATGAAAGGATCCATCTTGTGAAACCCCAGCCTGCCCCAAGAAGACAGGGACTGTCCAAGTTAGAAAACGAGCAGATTTCTCTGCTCACTCCAAAATCTCCATCAGAAAAAGAGCTAAAGAGTTCCAGTGAAGTAAGGAGAGATGTATCCAGCAGTTCTGGACTTGGCCTTCAGGAGAGCTCATCTAACATGAGAACTATGGCTAGCCAGAGCTTCAACACTTCTGACTCTACCATGCTTACTCCTCCATCAAGTCCGCCACCACCACCTCCTCAGGGTGAAGAACCAGCCACTTTGCGTAGAAAGAGGCATCAAGCAGTCTGGCAGAATGAGGTTGAAGCCAGGTCACCTCCAACACCAGCATCAACACCTCCTGTTCCCCCACGCCACGAGCCGACCTCTGCTGCCAAAGAGTCAACCCAGGCCAAAAAAGATGACGTGAGGAAGTCTTTTGCAGAGAGTGTGGATGAGATTCCATTTGCTGATGATGTAGAAGACACATATGATGACAGGACAGAGGACTCAAGCCTTCATGAGAAGTTCTTTACACCTCCTACCAGTAGGCCAAGGCCAGAGAAACCACTTCTTTTGCCCTTGGTCAAAGAAAATGGTGGTCCACCCTCAATGGAAGGAGGGGTTAACCAAAAGAAGAGAGTGTTGCCTGAAATTTCTGTGGAGGCCAAGGAGCTTGCTGAAGAAAGAATGAGAGCCAGAGAGAAGTCTGTCAAGAGCCAAGCACTGCGTGATGCCATGGCTAAACAGTTGTGTAAGATGAAAGATATGGAGATGGCTGCAGCTGCTGCTGCTGGGACCACAAGGGCACGAAAGGCATCTTCTATGCCCTTGAAGACCAAAGAGTTGTTTTATGACTCTCCAAAGCATCTGGCCTTGAAAATAGCAGAGGGATCCACACGAAAGCATGATGCTGCTAGTGAGAAGTTCTCCACTCCTGCTGCTGATGTGGCTGGACCTGAAGGGTCTGTCACCTCTTCAGAAGGCTCCAGTGGGAAGAGTAAGAAAAGAACTTCCCTCTTCTCCCCTCGTAAGAACAAAAAGGAGAAGAAATCCAAAAATGACAGCAGGCTTTCCGACAAATCTAGTGGTGGGACAGAGGAAGCAACAAAACCTAGGTCGTTATGGAAGTCTGTTTTCTCTGGGTACAAGAAAGACAAGAAGAAAAAGACTGATGACAAATCCTGCCCAAGTACTCCCTCAAGTAGTGCCACTGTGGATTCTGGCAAGCACAAAGCTTCTCCATTGGTTACAGCTGCAGGTATAATAGATATGTGGCTCTGCACCATATACTTTTCCTACAGCTAGGGAGCTTTGAAAGTAAGTTTGGGTTGCTTTGTCGTTCAGCTACTGTGCTGAATGACACTGCTCCCCAGTGTCAAGTGGGCAGATCAAGATAAGTGCTAGCAACTAGAATTGTATGTTTGTGTATTGACAGAATTAGTTGATATGCCACTGAAAAAAATTGATCCTTAAATAAAAGCTTCACTCTTGATATGTAGAAGGCACATCTGTTTTCTGCCTTAGACTGATTTGAGAAATAAGCACCGTTTGTTGGAATCAGTTGTCTGTGACATTTCATCTCTATTTTAAATCTCATCCTCATCTTTTCCTTGGGTGGTCTGTTCTCTTTCTTTCAACCTGGCTGCATGGATGCTGAAGACTGCGGAGATGCAGTTACTCCTGTGTTCTCAGTGATCTGGCAACTGTCTGCTGATCTATGAAGTGGGGATTCTGTGGCCTCATGTAAATCTCTCACATGCCATCAGGTGCAGGCAGAGGTGTTTAATGGCAACTTGTGATACAGTAAATAAGTTAGCCATAAATGTGATCGAAAGCAAACATGTTACATTTCTCTGGCCTTGTACAAATAGCCAAAATAGTGCCAGCTGCTGTCATCCAAGTACGTATCTATCGTAAGAGCATTGATACAGTACAAAGGGAGAATCATGACCGTTATTTTTAACAGCGTTTGCAGAAAGTGTTGCTCTCTTAGAATGAAGCTTCTAACTAACATTGATCGTTTTGCGGAGCAGTGCTTCTCTGATCACTCTGTAATCCCAGGCGAAGGAACTGAGACTGGGATAAAAGCACTAAGTGTTTTTGAAGCTCAATCAAACAACTTACCAACTGAGTTCTGAAATCTTTACAGAAAGAATAGTTACCACGTCTCTAACTTCCCCTTTTTATTCCTGGCTTCTCAGATTTGCAGCTCCGTCAACACCTGAGTTTCTCAGAGGACTCCGACCTCTCCAGTGACGATATTCTGGAACGCTCCTCCCAGAAATCCAAGCGAGAGGTAGGGAGATGGGAAATGCATTTTAGATGGATCTAGGATCGTGCAGATCACAGGCTCAGAGAAGCATATCAGACACCTGGATGATTAATTTTGTTGTTCTTACTATTTCTTCTGTGGAACAGGCTTTCCTGTAAGTTGGCTGACTGTTCTGCCTAAAATAAGTTGGTTTCACTTGGATTCACAATTGCAAGCTACTCCCCACTGTTGTTATATGAAAGGTCTGTTGTCTCACTGTGACGTTACTTTACAACGAATATCACAGTCAGAATAGTGAATTTTGTCCCTGTTGTGAGCATGCCAATGATCTACAGAAAACAGACATTTAGTGTCAGAAGAGTAAATTTCACTGGCTCTAATGTTATTGCAAAAAGATAACAATGAGATAGTTCTCACTTTTTGTAAGGGTCCGATTTTAGGATACTGTTTTACCAGCCTCTTTGATAGATTGAAGTGGTAGAATTCCAAGCAAATTACAGACAGGAATGTACTTTTGCATACATCAAGAACATAGTCAAGACAGATCATCAACTAAGAGGTAAGCTACAGGCTGCAGTTTTGCAACACATGCAGGTTTGCTTATTTTTCCTGGGAGAAGAGAATGTGTACGGTCTGAATTAGTACCTTCTCTTTTTGGAGAAAAGATGAGCCATCAGCCGTTTCTTCCATTTTGACCCTGTTTTCTTTGAGAACTTAGAATCATAGAATCATTTAGGTTGAAAAAGACCTTTAAGATCATAGAGTCTGTTGCTGAGTATTTCCATATGTCTGTGTGTGTAGATAACAACTGTGAAGCTGAAATACATAGTTGTGAGCCCCTATGAAATGCCAGTATATAGGGGTTGGTCTTAGCCTGGTGTTCTCATTCCAGTGTGGTCTGGTATGAACTCTGCTTCTTCTGAGAGAGCTGTTTCTTCTTCCTGACCAACCTTCCCTAGCTAGGGCTATAATGTCATATTGTAAGACATACCAACGGCTTTCTAGCCAAAATAATTTCACTTTAAATGGTGCTTTAAGGAAGTTACTGAGGAGGACAGAGGAGACACCAGTGGGTCTCCATAAAAGCCCAGAGAGAAAAATACATTTAGTTTATTTGCACGTATTTATATGTGGAAAATATATGGTGAGAGCCAAGTGCCAAAGTTAGTTGCTTTTAAACTATTTATTTCAATTTAGGATGGCACTATTAATACAAAAATAAGTGAAAAATGTAAGGAACTGCTCCATCATAGTAATGGGGAAGAGCCCTTCTTTTATTCCTGAGAGCTTCTAAGCTCTGATAGACAGAGTTTGCAAGGTTTGGAGGAATAAGTAGAGATTTCATTGACCCCCCACAGAAGGCTAAGGCTCTTCTGGTACTGAAGAATAAAAAATGTATTCCCCCCTGTCCCTTTGTGGTGGTGCCTGGTTCACATGTTAAAAAAACTCACAAAGAAGAGACCATTTGAGAGAGTAGTGTTACAGACACGGTGGTCTGTGCCTCCTGTCTCAAACCTGTCATCCAGTGTGCACAAATCAGTCTCCAATGGCAGGATCTAGTTGATACTTGGCTCAGATGGCAAAGGTATGGAAGTACTGCAAATTGAAGTGTCATAGGAAACGCTTTCTATGTGTATATATAGTGGAATGAATTAGAATAACTAATGAATTTAAGGCTGGTGGAAGGAGTTGATGAAGTAAGTAGGAATTTTCTATATTTACTTACCTCTTTTTTTAATCTGTCTCCCTAGTTGATCTAGATCTCTTCTAAGAGGAAGATTATTTTGTTTTTATTTTATTCCCTTTTTTCTCTCCCCCTTCCATTCCTCCTTGCATGCCCTCAAGGCGTTTCATGAGAAATTTTTCATTTTCCAAGAGATGCAGAAGAATGAGGTACCTGTGGCTAGCAGAGGACAGATATGCAATACGGGGGGTTCAGGTAAAAGTTACAGAGTTACTGTTCTGCCTTGTAAGCTCCTTCAGGAGGAAGCAGGGCTTCGGTAAGGTCCATGCTTGTTTTCAGACTTCGGTATGCCTTGATGGTCACTTTTTTTTCTGTGCTGAGCTACTTTGATTTAAAATGGCTTTTGCAGAGAAAAAGATCTCATCACTAAGCATTGGAGGGGATAGGTGACAGTGACAGATGCCTGGAATCCTAATACTGAAAATATCTCACCAGCTCTGCCAAGGGTATGGTGGTGGTGTCTCGTTTTCTTCCATTTGCTGTTGCTGAAGTTACATTAAGAATTTTTGCTCAGCATTTGCCTATTTTCTAAACAATAGTTTTGAGAATGAATTTATTTAGAGGAAAGGAATCTGAGAACTCCACTTACCTAGTTTTATTGCATCCTGTCCAAGGATGTAGAACGTACATGCAAACACTGGAATGCCTTGCTGTCAAAAGAAATGTAACTGAATTTTGAGACTGACAAAACTGGGTTTCTACTGATTTGGGGTGGGGGTTATATTTTTTGAGTTACAAACTGCCTGCTACTTATTATGGGTAAGAGTTGACTTCCTGTGTGCCACATAACTTTTATGTGAACCCCTTCTCTAAACTGAAATTCTGCTTGTGCTGCTTTTTTGGTAATTGTAGTGAGCTTGCTTCCCAGACAGCTTGCTCTGTTTAGCCTGTTCTTTGTGATCAGTAGTGAATTAATTCGGTGTTGTTTAATGTAGTGTCTTTCAAGAGAAGCATCTTGTAAAGAATTCCTAATGTAAATGCCCCATGGGTCTCGTGTTTATAGGTGTGTGTCATTGTGTGTGTGTTTGTCGTTGTTCCTGTACAATTGTGGTATTCTTATCAGACGTGCGTTTTACTACCGCAGGTAGCTTGCTTTTTACTGAAGTTTTCATACATGCTGAAGTTGTTCTACGGCTTTTCATTTGTGACTGTTTTTAGTTAATTGAATGTGAAAATGCAAAATGCTGGCTGTTCCCCCAGAATGGCACAATGCCATCTGTACTTCATGACGCAAGGGAAATTTACCTCTCTTATAAACCCCAAGTAGTTTACTTGCCATATTTTCAGGTACAGGGTAACGTAGAATGTCCTTGGATAGAGAAGGTAGTGATTTTTTCCTCCTTGCCTCCTCCTTGCATCCTCCTTGCATCCTCCTTCTCATAATTTTAGCTCCTCAGGCTCTCTGGAGGCTCTCTTTCTAGACAGGGAGATTCCATTACTGTAGGACACATAACCCACTCCAAGCCCATCTGGTGTTTCTCCTGTCACAAAGCAGTGAGGAAGATTTATGATGTTAGTTAAATGCAAATGATAATTTCTATGAAGTAGAGATAATTTAAAACCATGAAATAAACACAACTCCTAGGAGAGGCTGTAAATCAGATTGTAAATGGAGAGTTGTGTGACAGAGTAATATATGGTTGGCTGAGCCAGTTCAGACCAAACGTGCCCCAGCATAAGCCATTATTCCAAATCCTAAGCCAGAATTTTCTATGTGTATTTACGCGTGCTTGCTCAGTGGACTTTAAAACCATAGGTAGATAAAGGCCAAATAATTCCTCTAGAAAAAGCTATTTCCAAATTGACTGTATCTTCAGAGGCTGCCAAAGCTAATTGCCTTCAGGAGAGTGCTAGAAACTTGATTTTGCGGATAGAAGTTCCATTGTGCTTCATCAGTCTGGGTCACGTTCGGCATTTGCACAATTCTGTGTTTCATTTAAAAACAGCTTTGTTTTATTACTGTGCATCTGTTTTCAATGTTGAACTGATTTTGCTTCATTTTGTACGTTTTTTTATTTTTTTTTCCTTTACCATTCCCCCTTTAAAGTCGATTTATGTACCACACGCCTTGGCATTCAAGAGATCATATTCGTCAAAGGTAGTGTCTCCATTCCCGCTAGTTGGCCATTGTTGCATTGCATGTCCCTATATTAACCCATTGAATCCAAAGCTACCCATCACATGTGCACTAACATCACAAACATTGACTGTGCATGCGTGAGATGTTAGCAGACATGGGCAGCAAATTCTTTGTAGAGGTTGTCTACCAAAAATGCATTAAGCTCCAAATTGTCTGTCTAGTTAGAATGCATGCAATTATCAGTGCACAGCAGTGCACCACTGTACAGTGATGTGGATGATCTTTGAGCTTCAGAACAAATTTCAAGGCAATTAAATATGTATGTGTATTCTTTTTTTAATACTTAGAATATGAGTTCAAATGAATTGTCACACTTCAATCAGCATCCTTCAAAATTGTTGAGTTCACCGAAATCTTAGTGAAACTCTGTATCAAGCTAAAATCAAGACAGAAGTTGCATTTCTATTTCCGGAATGTTGCTGCTTTCTGAAATTCTTATTGTCCTGTCTTCACAGTCACAACAGTGTTCCATGGAATAGGAAAGTCACACCCTCTATAACTTTACCTTCTGATTCGGGTATCATTGTGGATTTTGTGTTTTAAAAAAAGAAAGAAAGAGGAAAGTGATAACTTCTTGGAGCTTTAACGATGGTGCTTGCTAACCACCTATCTGAGGGATTTTTTAATAGAGCTGTGATCCTACCTTAAACTCTATTCACTGAGAACAATAAACCAGAGTTAGGCTGACCAATGTGGCAGTACAGTAACTAGATAAAGCAAATTTCAGGGTGGTCTGTCATAACATTTTGTCCTTAAAGTTGACTGTCCATGGAGAAGATCTCTTTCCAGAAGTGGAAGACATCTGTTTACAGCTGTCCCTTAAAGCTTGCATATATGTATGTGGGAAGAGAGTTCTTTTCTTCACTGTAGTTTACTTAATGCAGTTGTGAAGTTTCTTTGGCACTCTAAAAAGTCTATCAGAGGAAGCCCTCCTGGACTACAACACAACCAACTAGTACACCTGATAAGATACTAAACCCCATTCAGTAATGTCAAAAAGACTTACTTATTTTTAAACTAGTTTCACTGAGAGAAAAGAAGAGGAGAAAATACCTTTCTATTTCTATAAACATAGCCTTTCTCCTTTTGGATGGCTTCTGGTGCTGTAATATTCTAGTTTTAGTTTAGATGGTGTTTGCTCTGTTTTACACCAGCCAGTTTTGTGGGGTTGCTCTTGAGGTGGGATTTCCCATCTCGCACCAGAATGTCTTTTTGCCTTCTTGATTCATAGAAAAGTTGCACAAATTTCCACAGGTAGTCATTACCAGATACACCAGTATAACTCCTAACTATGGATGTTCTTGCTCCAGAATAAAATAGGGAGAGGGGAATACCAATACAACTACCCTAGTCTATAATAATTTCTTAGCTTATACTGCTATAATTGTTCATGTAGACATGCTTTTTACCCTCTTTTAAAATGAAATCAAGGTGACCCCTTTATATGGTACTCATTGATTTAACAAAATCCATTTAGCTAAATCTATTGAGAAATAGAATAAAAATTTATTTGGTCTTTGGGGAGAGGTTTCATATAGCCGTGGAAGACAGGGGCGGGACATTATATAAAATCACAGTTTTGCAATTGGCTTACATGCTTCTTCACTCCTGACTTGACCCTGAAATTGTTGCTCACTGCACTGTGAACACCTTTGCCTACGGAAGCTTGACTTTTGACACAGCCATGGCAAAGACAGAACACCTCCCTTCTGAGATTTTGGAAGAGAAAATGGTCTTCCCTCTCCCCATACCTCTGAGCATACAAATAAAATCTGCCCCTGTTTTTCCTTCCTTCAGAGAGCCTACACAGAAGAGGAACTGAATGCCAAGCTGACCCGGCGAGTACAGAAAGCCGCCCGTAGACAAGCCAAGCAAGAGGAGCTAAAGAGGTTACACAGAGCTCAGGTAGTGTCTCACAATCTTCTTGTCATGGCAGGCAGTTAACTCTATGTGAAAGCACCATGATCCTGACATTCCCCTCAGTGTGTCAGAAGAGGATCCAGAGACAGAACTTTCCTCTATTTCTACATGATTGTCCCTGCTCCTACTCCCTCTTTCAAATTCGATATCATGTCACAGACATGGCAAGAATGGCTGAAACCTATCATGGTAGTTTTACAGTGAGAAAAATAATGACCATAACACCTTTCTAGCTGGAGATGAGTGAAACATCATGCACTGAATGGACCAGTGATAGTCAGATAATACCTGATGAAGCTGCACCTATCATTGCTTTGCTAGATTATGCTGCTGGGTGAAGTGTTACCAAATTAACCTTTAATTACCAGACAATCTGTTGGAAAACTGCTGGCATCATCTATAGGTGATGAGATTTGTTTAAAACTCAAGGTGGGGGCTCAGCTGTCTGAATAGCATCACCTTTCACTTCAGCGCTTAGGAAGGTGATTGGAGTTGTAGCAAACAGGTGAGTATCAAGGTGTTTGCAAAATTAAGGGGTAGGATGCAAAGGGGTGGGGAGGATGATGTTGCTGGAGGGACTGTGATGCTAGCTTTTGAAGCAGTGTATTATTGAATACAAATACTTGTTTTTGAAAAGGCCGATTTGACTGGTCACTTAGTGCTGGATGCGTGCTGCAGACAGAGCAGGAGAATTGCTGTTGGTGAGGTTCTGCTCCATTCTTCTCTGAACAGATCATCCAGCGGCAGCTTGAACAAGTGGAAGAGAAGCAGAGGCAACTCGAAGAGAGAGGAGTTGCTGTGGAGAAGGCCCTTCGGGGAGAAGCAGGTATCCATCAGAATTTGGTTTGCTTTTTAATGTTTTCTTATTAAGTGCTTGTGCAGTAGTCCATAGCTGCTTGTATTTTAGAGGCAATTGGACCATTATAGCCTAGAGATAGAGTCCAGTGTGAATCCATTCTCCCTTTTCTACTATCTTTTTGAGGCCTTGTTTTTCCTGTGTTTCTTCTAATTGTGGGACTCCCCCATTGGCAGACACTTAGTTTGCTTGTCTTTGCCTGAGGCTTAGGAGGTGATTCTCCAACTATTAATAATGGCTGTTTGACTGTTTCTGCATATTACTGGATATTACAGCTAGAAAATTGCAGGGATTTCCTAGCTGCAATTCACATGAAGCTGTCACAGTAAGAGAACCCTGTTTGTATGTCAAGGAAGTAATTGTGAAATTGTGTGTGCTTTCTCTATTGTGTTGGATTATCAAGGTAGTGTCCTTACAAGGGACCATCACAGAACATCTTCCTCCCTGCACAGCCCAGCACACTGGCTACTTCTGACAAAGTTGTGCAGAGCAGAAATGCACACGTGTACTGGAAGGTATCAATGTCAAGCTGTTAAAGGAATGTTATGTGTACTTGGAATTAAATTAAATGTTTATCATCTGATCTGGCAAGCATATGAGTGGAGGAGTACTTGGTTCAGATAATGCTGATAGTAGCATAATGATTTGGAAAAAAGAATCCTCAATTGCAAGGAGTCAAATATCCAACAGGCAAATGCAGTGTATGTATACCTGACAGGCCCAGAATTATGTACCTGATTACAAAGGTCAGAGATCAGAAATGGTAATAGTGGAACAGGTGTTTGGAAAATGTTTTGGCTTATTGCTTGGATTGAAGAGTCACCGCTATGCCTGTGAAGATGGAACTTGATTAAGCAGTGAAGGTTCACTAGAGGAAAATTGTTGTGACTTCCCACCAATTACTACTCGGCCAGGATTAGGTATGTTTGATGCTCCATAAGGGTGTGCCAAAGCAGCAGGACTGAGTGGTTACCAAAGCAAATAGATACTGCAAGTGTGGAGAACAATCTTGAGGACTTCAATGGTTTTGCGATCTGACTAGCTTTTTCGTTTGTGGGTTCAAAAAATAGCCTTGTGCAAAAACTCTTTCTTTGCGGTGGTGCCTCCTTCCTTACGCTGTGTATTTCTGTGTAGCTCCACTCTGTTCTCTGGCCTGCCAGTTACTGCACTTACCACCTCTCTTATCTCTAATTGTTCTTTTTCTTCTTTTCATCTGGAAGTCTGTCTTGATTACTCAACTGCTAAATGACTTTCACGTAAGATATGTCAGCACAAGTGGGAAATCTCAGCAGCTGAGAGAACGTTTTTCATGATAGAATGCTCTATCATTGAAGAATGATAGAAGAAAGCCTAAAAAACGTTCAGAGAGGGCAGAATATGACCAAGAGTAAGAATTGCTATTTTATACGGAAGACGGCAGAATTAAATCCTTGTATAACTAACTTCTCACTCCCAGCTCTCCCAAAATGGAAGCATTCTTAGATGAGCCTGTGTATTTGTGAATTTCCTAGCAGAATTACAAAATTGTAAGTCACTCTTTGCAAAATGAATCTCTTTTCTTCAGGAAGTCTCTAGGGTATGCTTTGCTCTTGCAACATGTTTCTATCAACAGATCATACGTTATGGTTACAGAAGCTTAACTTTGTCATAAAGAATTCGCCAGCCTCAACTCTTCCAGTTATTTCAGGGGATTAACAAGAAACACATTCCGGAGGGGCGGGGGGGGACGGACATGTTCTAACCTGTGTTGACTGAAACACAAGATTATAAATTAATTCCATTCTTCACCTCTCTAGCCACTCTTGCATGGACATTTTACATATGTTTGCAATAAAATAACTGAATTTCTTCTTTTTAAAGTCTGTGGAATCACAGCCGTTAATTATTCAGGAGGGCATTATAATTTTCTTGTCATCTGCATTGCCTAAGATACTGACCTAACAGTGACCACTGCATTTTGCAAGTACCATTGTGTAAAGGTGTGGAGTCATGCCCTTATCTCTGATCAGTCCCTCCCCTAATGAAATCATGTAAACAAAAGTTAAAAAAGGGAAGGGCAGTGTATAAACTGGTGGTGTCATCTGAAGAAAAAATCTCTTCCTTTTAATAAGCTTGTACAAGGGGAAGAAATGCGGGAGGGTGGGAGGAATGCCTCCCGTGCACATACTCTGTCCACATAAATAGAGAAGGATTGCAATGCAGGATTGAAGTAACGGCTGTCCCACAGACAGCAACCAGTATTAATTGTTCTAGGAGAACATACTAGGCTCTGTAATGAGTGGGTTATTCAGCTTCCCTCTCTGTAGGGAAAGAACAAATCACTCACTGACTTAGGCATTTAAATACGAAGTTTTAGATAGTAGTAGTTTCCTACTACTAGGTACTTGAAAATCCTGGCAGAAGAAACAGAATTCTGTATTTTGTAATGATTCTTTTCTTTTTCTATTGTAGAAAAAGATAGACAAGACCATCTGAACTACTTCTCTATGTCATTTATCATCTTTTAGACTGTTGCCTGTTAGTAATCTTTTCCCGTCTGTGAAGAATTTCAAATTTTGCTTTTGTTAGAGGTCTTCCATTAACTTAAATTCCTCAGATCTCTGACCTCTGGACCTCCTTCCATTTTTAGAAAAAAGTTTTTCAGTTGGACTGGTAAGAACAAAAACCAGTACTATAGGTAAGAATTTGTTTACTTAGAGTAATTTTGCTTCTATTTTCCATCCATTTTGCATCATCCTTAACATGTTCTTGCCAAGTGACTTACACTGAGAAGACTGTCAATAAATTCTTCACAGCGATGCCCTGCTGTCTTCCTGACGGATTACAGTTAATTTAGAACCTAGCAATGGGTACAGACAGCTCAATATTCTTTCCAGGAATTTGACTCATTATCTGATAGTTGTCAAGTTGGAATATTTATATGATGATACTAGCTATTCAACTAATCAGACTCAGAAACATTTTGGAGGTCATTGTCAACTTTAATTTTGACAAAATAAGTACACCTTCTTGGCTACCTCCTTGTCTTTTCCTTTTTTAAATGGGCTCAGCCTCAGGCAAGGTGCAGTTAGTCTTTTATTCTTTTAAAAGCTGAATGCTCAGTCTAACATTTAGTTTCTGATTCAGAAAATGATCTCGCACCCTATTATTACTTAATTGCCTTCATATGTTCTCTCTGATTATCTTTGATAATCTCAGCCTTTGATAGTCACATTCATAGCAAGAATGAATGATTTGGAACGTAAGCTCTACTTCAGGTGGCAAGTTTGTCATATACAGGTGGTCTAAGCTTTTGTCATGCCTTTTTTTCCTTCCCACCTCTCCCCCTTTCTTTTGCATCATGGTATTTCACTGCAAAGGTAAAGTAGGATAATCTCAATGAAGAATTTCCCCATTTTTCTGCGGTGTCCCAAGAGAGACCTTGAATGGGATTGCTATTAATGTAACAGTACTTTGTATTATAGTGCATTCGCCTGTTTGGACATGCTTATGACTTTGACTTCCCGTGTGGATTTTTCATTTTTTCAATTATTAACTTAAAAATATGTCAAATCAGAAATTTCTGGAACCTTTTTTTTTCCTCCCTTATCCTCCTTTAGCATAAACTTTGATAGTCATTTTTAAGGACTGAGAAAATGTCTCCTACTGTCAGATCAATACTGAAAAATTTAAGAGCCACCTCTTTACATCAAGTGAATCATATGCAGTGAGAAATAGTGCTCTCAGTACTCCCATCTGTCTCTTCCCCAAAGAAATGTTACACAGTGCTAGACTCATGGTGTACCTGTCTCTAGCAGCTGTGGACGTACACATCTCTGTTCCATACACTTCTGTGCAGGTTCTTCTCTGGCATAGATACTGCATTAGCAGAAACACACGTACCCATCTTTCCACACTTAGGTGTTTGCCATTCGTGTCAGTGCTCAGTCAGTGCCTTCCACACGTGTGCCGTACTTGGTCACCTCCAAGAAATCAACCCTTACACTTTTCCTGCAGCTGACCTAAGAAATGACGCTGTTTCCTTCTGACATATTGCTCAGCATGAAAGCAACAAGATTAGTTCTGCTTTTCTCAGCAAGAACAGGAAAGACATCAGTGTCCGGTACTGGTGCAGACTGAAATAGGTGAAGTGTGTCTGTGTAGACGACTTGATTTTTTCCCCTTGGAAATCCTTGCCTGCCTGCTGGGAGTTTTCTCCTCATCTTCCCAATATATATATTTGTGATATATTTGTGTGTGTGTGTACATATATGTATATATACAGAGAAAGGGAGACATATAATTCTTTTTTTTTTATATATATATATATGTGCCCATGTGTATAGCTGCATATTTCCTGTTTGCCTTTTTTTGTTTCTGTCTGTATGTCTTTTTCTCATATATTGCTTTGATTGTGTGGGGCTAGGGTGGGTATCTGATTCAATAACTCTGTCTTCACCAATTCCTTGTTGTAGACTATTGGGGAGAGTCTTATTACAGTGACCTCATCGACTTGCATCTGGGTGGTATGTATAGCTGAACCTCCTGCTGACACTAACCCTGCTGACACTCCTCCCCACTCCTCCCTTCACCTAATTCTCCCATCCTTGGCTCACAAACAAGAAGAAACAGCCCTTGCACGTGACTGGCTATAGCAGAACCCCTTTTCCAGCTCAGGAAGAGGAGATCCTGGCATGCTCCACAAACCATGTGTAAGGCTCCCTCTTCTATTTTCCACAGTGCTGATTATTTCAAAATTTACTTACTGTTTTCACTCCAGCCACTTTCCCTGCTAGCAGTGGAAGGCCGTTCTGGTTTTTTTTTGCTTGTCCTTTGCAAAGTCCAACTCTTACCACTGAAATCCTCTCTAGGAAAATATTTTACTGGGAAGGGAACAGCAGAACTGACCTGCTCCCAAAAGCTAACAGCACTGTAAAGGATTAGTCATGCCATTGCCTCCCTCTTCCCCTTCTGGGGCTCGTTTACTTCTTCCAAAAAAGCCAGAGTGTGTTGATGATCTAACAAAAACAAAATGCTCCCTCAAGGGACTTTGGAAACACTTGTAGATGACAGATACTTCTTCTTTCTTGTTTTGTCTTACTGTAAGGTTAGGAGAGAATCTACTGTTAAGAGTTCCAGTCATTTTTGCTGGAATCTGCTCTAGCTGCTGTTAGAGTTTCCAGTCAGCCCAGTTTGCATCATTACACAGCTAATAAGCTTCTTGCTATGTTATTTTTTTTTAATATCCCATTTAGTGCTAAACACATGTTACAGTGTTTAGCTCGTGTTTTTCACTTAGCGATTATAATCTGGTCATCACTCTGCACCATGGTTCTGCATTTCTCTAATTAATGTTACTTCCTGAATCCCTTAGTAGGTGGATAACTTTTGGGTTGCCAACGGCATTTGTTTATCATTTGCCTATCTTGAAAATTAAAATTCCCTTTGCTAGTTTAATCACCCTAAATCTATTCTTATAAAATGAACGCATCTGTCAGCGGATCCAAGAGAAAGCAAACTCTGCTCGGTTGCCTTGTCATCTGAGGGTCTCATTTCATTTGTCTTTCAGAGTATAAAGTTGCTTGATCTAAGCTGTGTTTTTGCTGAGGGAGTGCATTATAGTCCAGCTCCGCAGAGTTGGAAGATCCACATGCTCTAGGCCTGATCCGAGACACATCACTAGAAGTCTTCCCCGATTTCATTGTGTTCTGCATTTGAGCCTTCAAATGTAATCTTGCCCAGGCTTTTAGCTGTCATTTCTCCTCCTCCAGGGGGAGGCTGTCCCACATAGTATCTCTCTGTAGCTGTCTGTTGGGAATGACTCCAAATTGTCCTGGCACAATAGGCTTTTATTGAAGAACATCCACCTGAGTTAAGAGTATCCACCTAAGTTCAAGTTTCAAAATGGAAGACTTTTCTCCTTAGTAGACCTAATTTGTTGCCCAGTTCCCCTGTGCTAATTTTGATGTGATAGTCCTCCGCTAGCCCTGTGCTTCATTCACTGTTCAGTCCCTCTGGCATTCTTTCCTGGGGTATCTTCTGCAGAGAGACTTTGGAACCCTCTTTCTAGTTATGCCCATCAGGGCTGGCACATACCCTTATGAGCGTAGAGTAGGAGCTCTAAAAGGGTTGATGCTGAATTACACTTAACAGACCCTTATCCCTATTTAATTGCTATTTCCACTATACCTCTCCCTCCTCCTGCTTCTCCTAATGCCTCTTTAGAAACAGCGATCCCATCAAAATCACTAATAGTGGCTTTAAGAAAAACAAAATAATCTTTGCTTAAAGGGACACTGTTGCTTAAAAAATTATTGCGTTGCAGAAAATCTTAATTGAAAATTGAATTTACTGTTTATCTTTTTTGTGTGTTTGCTTTTTCCATTTCTCTGAGGTCAGACAGTCACCCCAGAGTGGTCATTTTTGATCTTCTACAACAGGCTGGTTTTATTCATATGGTGACTCAGTCACTTGGGCTTCCAACAGTCAGAGACAGTGTTCATGTTTTTTAAAAATGGTTGATGTATTTTAAAACTATATCAAGTTTCTGCTCATCTCAAAAATACCATTTTTGAAACAAACTTTAAAAAACTGTATTGGGCAGTATCCCTTTAAGTGCAATGAGCCAGTATAGCCTGCTGGAGTATGTGGCTTTATGGTATTGTTTTGTTGCCTCTGTAATTTGCTTTATATTTGCTTTTGGAGCTGCCAGAACACTTCGGCCAGAAGGGATACATTGCTCTGATGATACTTTTCACTATTCGGTGGCAGATTTAAAGCTCAGCTCCAAAATTAACATGTCTGTGCAGGATGCTGCATCTGGGTGGTGTGCCATTAAAATCCCTGAAGCGCCGTGTGGCTGCGTGGTCCTGCTGAGTGCTATAAGCAGCTAGGAGGCTGTGTCTCTGAGGCATAGGCATGACTCTAGAGTCATGCTGTCAGTAGAATGATAAGCAAAATTGCAAAATATTTTGAAAAGCTATCTGTAAATTGGTAATGATTTTTGAATGATTAGGGCATTAATTTATTCTGGATTTTCTTTACACTAATGAGAGTTGCATTTCATTTAGTTGTTACAGATTGCGCAACAACTTCTGCAAGGGAGTGGTAACTTCTGACATCCTTGGTCAGGTTCCAGTTTGCAGTATTACAGATTGCTATCTTAACTACCCCTGTTGCTCTGCTCAGATGCCATAATCCTCTCTTCCTGTTCTAAAATGTCATGTACCGTTGCTGTAAAGCAGATGTTTCATTTCAAGCTACAGATGGTCACATCTCAATTCTGAGTAATTATTCCTATGTGTATATCGTGTATGTGGTTATGTTAAAAGAACATTACAAAGGTTGCAAGGTCAACTGAAATTAAGAGTTTGTATTATGTTGATATATCAACAGATTTATAACCTTTAGATCCACCACAGACAACTCTGCCTCATGCCCTTATGGAATAACTGATAGCAACGCTAGGTTGTCATCCTCTGTGTAGATCCTCATGGAGAGGAAATGGGACACGGTCAGTGGATTTCACAGATGTTTGCTGGCAGCTGTGGAATGGTGAGACTTGAAAACATGGATTCTGAGCCAGACGCTGGAAGGATATAGTGCTCTGGTGGATACACACTCTTTGTCCATTTTATTCCCTCTTTCCAGACAGTCCTTGTCCTACTCCTGTCTTTTTCCATCCAAAGCTCCTTATCCCACTTCCGTTTTCATTCTCAGTCCCAGTTTCTGCTTCTCAGGCATTTAATTTTAATCCTACCTTCTTGACAAAGAAATCATAGTATTCTACCCTTCAGACCTCCTGTTCCTCCCCACTAGCTGTTCCTAGTCTTTCATTCCTGCTCTGGTCTTCCACTGACTCAGTCCCCACAGTCTTAATCCCTGCCTCTGGCCTTCTCCCAAAATTTTTGGGCTCTGCTCCCTCTTCTACCCAGCATCATTTGTCTGGAAAATTGTAGGTCATCTCTTCTCCACAAATCTACCTTCTCCTTTCTCCCCTTACCCCTTTTCCCTTCTCCTCTCTGTCTCTTCTCCTTTAGTAGTTTGCATTCTTAGTCTCCTTGCTTAATTAGTCCCAGTCTCAGTTCCTCCTTACCCACCAGTTCCTTGTCCCAGTTTGCTCCTTGTCTGCCTGTGGAAAGTACCTCCATTGTTCCCTCTGCATTCAAATGAGCGGCTTCCTTTTCCTTGCACCCAGCAGGGAATCACTGAGGAAACAGCCCCATGCTCCCATCTTGCTTTGCTCTTGGCTGGAGTATGCCGAGACAGGCAAGAAGGATGTAAGGAAGAGAGCTGGTATGTTTGATAGTGCTGATTTCAGACATACGTTCTCCCTTCTTGACAAGAGCCTTAGAAACATCAGGTAAACAGGGGAGGAAAAAAAGTGCGATGGTGTTCTGTTTTTTTTCTTTTAATTCTTTGTACTTTGTTTAAAGCATACTCTACAACAACTTCACTTTTTAGTAGCTTATTTAAAATACTTGAGCTGACGATATCCTTTAAAGTCCTGCAGATCTAACTCTGCAGGGCTGGAGTCTGATATACTCAAGTGGGAACAGTCCTATTTCTTGTGATTGGCAAACACAGCTCTCCTGGAAGAGGAGTGGAGTTGTAAGATAAACATTGTTTTCGCAGTCTGCAGCTGCTTTTGACACTGAAGTGAATTGGTAACATATTTTCTTTGCTGTAAATTTGGAGCAGGAAAGAGCACTTGATGAGCAGGACTTGATAAGTATAATTACTTGTTAGGTACTGGAAGCAAGCAATTACTATTTACCTGCTTCTTTCTGCAAACCTCTCACAACTGCACGCAGACACTAACAGTCTGGGGAGGCATGGCCAGTGCAGGACTCTGCTAATTCTGACTGCATTTTGAAGTGCCTTGAGGTCTAGTAGAAGCAGAAGACTTCTGTGCAGTCGTTTGTGTGTGTATTCTGCACCAACTATTGCTTTCCCTAGTTTTCTTTCCCCTCCTCGCCTTTTATTTTTTCTCTCTTCCGCTGGATAAATAAAGGTGTGGTTCAGTTTGCATGACAATTCAGTGGTCTATTGAGTTTTCCCCAGGTTTCTTCTAGTGATGGTACTTTAGAGAATATTGGTTTTTACACAGTTTTAGTAAACTTAAGTCGACCCACTGAGTTGATATGCTTATGGGATAGTTGTCAGAATCCTTCTCAACTTCGTAATACCAGCAGTTGTGTGGATGCTATTCTCCAAGACGTGGCTTTCTGTTTTCTTGCTGTTTTACAACACTGCTGTTGAACAACTTCACCAAATAGTAAAGTTGGAATGCTTTATTTTTCAGTACTTAGGTTTCTGACCATAACTGATTTTTAAAAGGTGGGAAAGAGGATATTTCCTGTGATCAGTGCACAGTTTGTCTTACTGATCTCTTTTGGACTGATCCTTATTTTAAGCACTGAGTTAAAATCAGAGTTCTTAGTCTGCCTGCTAAATGAGTGATGGAATTTGTTAGTGGAATAAGAATTTCTAAAGGGTCGTGCTCTTAGCTTGTGAGGTCAAGTGCCAGCATAATGGTTCAGGAGAACTGAGATTAGCCTCAGAGCTGGATTTCTTGCCCGGTGTTGCTGATTTCCAAACTGCCCTGGTTAGTCAGCAATATAGAAATCAAAGCCTTTGGATGCAAAGCTTACAAAGGATGTGACCCCATTTGGTCTGTGATATATCTGTTCAAGTCATTTTGATTTGCAGTGGCTTACCGCTTCTCAGAAATCACAGCTCTCATACCACAGGACATAGGCAAATAGTGAAGGGGATCAATATGAGCTGTAGCTTAGGCATAATGGTGTCTGCCACCCCAAATTTTCTGCTGTGCTTTCTTCATCCTGATCAATCATTTTTACTGCTGTGCTTCAGATTATGAAGAAGTGTTACGTAGCTACAGCGGGAAAGGACAAAACCAGTCTGAAGTATTGCTCTTTAAACAATAGGTGAATGAAAAGTAGAAAAGACAACAGCAGTCCAATGTAGTTTGTGTAACAAAGAACAATGTACAGTGAAAAGGAAGGTATATTTTCATGGTGGCTATACAACTTCTGTTCCTTGTTTCGAAGAGGCTTTGGAGCTATGGTGTTTATTCTTGGCCTGGCTCTTGGTTTCCATCACTGTAGCAAAGACTGCAATCCCTTAAGGGTGCTATGACAAACAAGGTCTTTCTTTTCATGGCTGCATGAAAGATTTCCCAGGAAGATCTGGGAAAGGCATTTCTTCACAGAGGCAAGATAATTCCAGTTACTTTATTGATGGGATGTGGCTAGTCTGCAAGGCAGAGCTTCTACCTCTCCAGGATGTTCAGTGTGCTCGGGTGCTGGGGCACGCTCCTTTCCTCAGCAAGCTGCAGCTCCCGGCTCTGTACCCATCACCCCATGTGCCCTTCTGAATGCCTCTGCTTGCCAGCAGCTTGGGCTGCTGATCTTGCTTTGAAGGCTTTACACGCATTCAGAAAAGTTGGCTTGTGGCATTGAAAAGGAACAACTTGTGATTAACACTATCTGTTGGTGGTTTTGTCTCTCTAGGGAAAAAAAGTGATAATTTTCTGGCCAGAAGCTATAGTCACACCTCAGACTCTTGCTGACAGCACAGAGGGAACCTAAGAAGTGATTGGTCACAGAAATGGTTCTTCTCTTACCCTTCAGCTCCTTCTGAGCAAACCGCTTCAGCGGGGCAGTGGGTAGCTTGTATTGTTGCTGCCAGCAGCACTCTTCCCGTGCTGTGGATGAAGGACCTGTGTCGCCAGACCTGGCCTGGGTTTTTTGGTGATGGACGAGACTTAAACAGAAAGGGGATTGTTTGGGTTTTTTTTAATTTGCTTATCAAAAGAGTTTTTCCCATCTGGCCCTGACTCCATGGCCAGGAAAATTGTCTTGCAGTGATGATCATGTTTTTAATTTAATGAGCCCATGAGGTGGTGATGTCTCTTCTCTAAACAATAATATAATAATAATACTATATACTGTAGGATTAGTGATGGCTTTGGGAGAAATAAGACATGTAAGGATTTTCATTATGTAATCGGACAAGTGATAAAGGCAAGGGAGATGAGACAGTTTTTAACACTATATTGTGAAACAGGGTATTGCATAGTTCTCCTTTTAATAGTACTGGACGAGTTCAGCCTTTTCCCAGGATTGTCTTTAAACATAAATATACGCAGTGAGAGCTCTTGCTGTGAAGTTGTATTTTTTTTTTTTAAATTAACCTTGACAGGAATGTGAATGATCTGATGATACATTCACTGTCGAAACTTACCAGCTGGCTGAGGGAAAGCTTTTTCCATTTATCAAATGATCTTTTTTTCCCCTGGTTCTCTGTTTCTGCAAAACAGTTAAGAGGCCTTTTCTTGAAAGAGTTCATCTGAAGGGATAGTGAAATGTGTGACATGGAATACACTTAAAGATTGGTTACTGTGAAAAATGTGAAAAATCTTTCTCCATTTCAGTAAATATGATAAAATAGTTTTCCTCTTAAAATTAGAAAGTTCCTATTTCAGTCTGCTTATAGCATCTGTACCACATGTATCGATACTCTTTATTAGCAAGGGTGGGGAGGCAGTTTTCATGACTATCACCTTAGAGAAGTTTTTAAAAATGTATTTAGAATTCTACTGCATGATATGTATTTTAGAGCATGATAATTGGTGTAGTTTTCACAGCTTTAGAGAACTATAAGAGGTAAGTTTTCAGGTTGCACTTTACACTGTCCTCACTGTTTAGGACCTCCAGTACATAAGGAACACTTTTTAAAGCCTTGCTAATCATCCTGGGCTGGACGGAAGTGGTTTCCAAAGCAATTGGAACGATCGTATAACCTGTATTCACTGATGCAACTATAATTTACATCTGGAGTAATTGGAAAGGATCTTAATAGTACAGGTTATGTTCACTATCTTACTGAAAAGCAATGTTGACATTTCCAGTAGCAGGACTATCATAGATACCATGGACTTTGTAACTTGATTCAAGGACATGTTTTCCTTAGACAAGAGTGGGAGGATAATATTTCTGTTAAAAAATAGCACAACTAAGAGCAAAGGAAGAAAACACAGTTGCAGGGAGCGTGTTCTGTATTACAGCCTTCTGTTATGTAAAACCTGTGGCTTTTTACTGGAGACCAAAGATGGTATCTTCTCCTAGGATCAGACCATTTGCTCACTGATGACAGAAGTTAGTAGTTTGTGGCCATGTCACAATGATATGAACGGCATTTTCACATACCAGGTATTTCTTTTCGGATCAAATATGGCAAATTGGGAATTCCTCACCAAGTCTGTACGTCCATGGTTTGAAATATATGAATATAGCTGCCTTTGAGTTATCAACATCCCATACACACGCACACACAAGTCTGAATGAAATCTCAAACCCTGAAAAATCGAAGTGGATTTTTCTATATGGTTAAATGTCTGTCTCCTGATCCCCCCCCAGCACCAAGTTAGAGTATTAAAGCATATATAGAAGAATTCATGCTGAATAAGATAGGTTGTGAAATAAAAATTATAATAGGTATCATGCACTAAATGCTCTATTTTGTGTGGAAGCTTATTCTTCACAGTGCCTTTTCAGTTTGGGTTTTTTCCTGTTTGTTTTTGCTTTTTGTAACCTAATCTGTGAAATGGTAATCGTAGGGGAAAAAAAGCCCAATTATTTTTTAATTTAAATGGAGAAGTTGGAAAACTCTGAACAACTAGAATTAAGGTTCTGGTACTGTCAATTACTGTTGGTACGACGCTTTATTTGTAACTGTCATATGGCCAACTGTGGCACCTCTCCTAATGTTGCCCCTTCCTGCTCCCAGTACAGAGGTTTCTTCCTGTCTGAGAAAGCCGCGCTGCTCAGTCACAGGCTTTGAAGCCGATGTGCTCTCCTCCTCGCTCCAGTGTGTCCTCCATGTGCTGATCTAGTTCTGTGATGGTCCCTTCTAAAGCCTTCCCAGTTTGCTGGTAGTCTGGTTCTGTAAAGCTGTCTCCAAACCACGTATATCAAGCTCTGCTGACTTCTCCAAAATAAGTGTTATTCTTACCATATTATTGTTGTGGAGTTTATGCCTTTTCCCAACACAGAAATGCCTCCTCTTTATAAATGCGGTTGTGCATTGAGAGCAGTAAGTGTTCCATTCTGCTAGCTCTGATGTTTCAGACTCATCACCTTCCTGGTGCATATGGTCTCCTGTAACTATTAGTGATGTTGGTTGTACAGCTGAGGAACAAATTCTCAGTGTTAAAACAGCTGAACCATTTTAGAGATGCGAAATATTTGTCCTTTACTGGGTGACAGAAAAGATGAAAAAGATTCAGTAAGTCACTGATACTAACAGGACTTGTAAGCTTTAAAATGCTTTGTGAAATAAGAATGTCAAGGGAGACCTTTAAATTTACCGTTTTAACTCTGCAAAGTCCTCAGTTGGTCATTGCCCCCGCAGACCCTGATGTGAATCACTTTTTTTATCCATGTAAAAGCCTTTTCCCCTCTAAGCACAACAGTCCAGTTGAGTACATGTGTACTCACCATACTTGACACAGCAGATCCTGGCAGGCTGGTTCCACGTTAATTAGATTCTCCCTGTGATGTTCCCTGTCTGAAGAAACTATTTTCCATTAAAAAGGACACTCTTACCATCAGGGGATTCTGCCATGGTGATAAGAGCATGGTCCTGATAAAGCTTTAAGGTAGGGTGGCTGCTTACAGCTGGTGTCTTATGCATGCAGGCGAGACTTTCTGTAATCCTCCTTGAAATTTGACATTTATCAGCAGGAGTTAAATATTCATCTCTGCTCATCCTGACATCTTGTTCACAAACCGTTCGGTTAAAGACCACGCAATTGAAAAATGTACGTTAGGAAAAAGTACGGTAACAATAACCTCCTGCCTGGTATTTGTACAGCTCAGTAAGAGTTCACCAGTACCTCAGTCTACCTATTACCTGTTATCTGTGCTTATTAGGGACATTATTCATCTGTAGGCTGTATCCCTTGTTTCTGCTTCTCCATTTCTTGTATTTTTTTCTTTTCTTTTCTTCTTGTGTTTCCTTTCTTTCTCACTCTTATGCTTTTTGTCCTTTGCTTGTCTTTTATTTCACCCCTTTCCTCCTCTTCCGTTCCACTTCCAACTTCCTCTTCCTCTCCTGCCTCTTCCTCTTCCTCGTTTGGTCCTATTGAAGTTGAGCCCAATGCCGGGACACCACGTCGTAGACCTCTCTCCTTCTGCCCTTGCTGTGCCCATGAAGGTAATGTAACCTCACACACTCCCCGTTCTCCTTGACCACAGCTGGGTTGTCATAGCAGCACTAGTCAGCTAGTGACCACAAGGCCCCCATCCCCGTCCCCAGCCCTCTTCTTGCTGTGTCCCCAAACCAGCCTTCTCAGTAGCAACCTGGTAACCAGCTTCTCTGAGCCTGTGGCAAGTTATTAAAGGTACAGTATCCCTTTTGCTAGTGCCAGCTGTGCTAGGGAGGGCGTAGCGACTGGGAGGGACATTGGGCAGCAGCGGTGGGAGCAGTAATGTCACACTTGAAAGTTTCTGTTTTCATTTGGTGGCTTCAATTTCTCTATACCTCCTGAAAGATGTTTGGAAGGTGGGGTAAGGGAAGAAAATCTCCTTCCTTAAATGGCCTTTTAATTAGTAGATATGGATTAAAGGAATACTGTGTCTTTATAAGGACTGGTTTACAGAAACATCCTTGAACTTTAAAAACCAACAAACCTTAAGCTAGACCAGTTTTCCCTCATCTGTCTTGCCGAGTGCATTCTTTAACTGTCCCAAATGGAGTTTGCCATAGAGTTTCCATTGCCAAGGCATGGGGGAAGGGGTTGTTTATGTGTGCTCATGGTGTAATTTTGCTAACCACTTACTCTGCTTTCTGTGGTGCTCCCTCACATCAGTTGTCAGTGCTCCCTCTCCAATCCTCCCATTATTCCTCTGCTCATTGGCTGTTTAAAAATACTTATGTATTTCATAGGTCAGTAGCGTTGTGGTTTTGGCTTTTTCTTAGGCGTTTGTTTTCTATACATCCTGGCATCGGAAAGGATGGGGAGACTTCCCAGTGCTTTCATGGCGCCACAGCACTGGACATCTGCATGTACAGTCTCCCTCTCCTGTTGCCACACGGGCATATTGTGCAGAGATGCTCAGAAAGGAATGCTTGGAACTGAGCAACACACTGGTATAAAGTCTACAGAGCCGGAGGCTCTTAGGGTGGTACAACCAGGTCTGGTATTCCCCAAGGGTCTGCTGTTACCATTTTTCAAAGGCAGGTGTTGTCAGCCTAAGCTGCAGTTTAATAGGAGTTGTAGGCTCTCCTTTGTTTAGCTCCAGTGCAGCACTTCTCTGAGATCCTAAGGATGGAGGCAGGGCACAGGTCTGATTTAACTAGGCATTAATTTGGTATTCGTGAAGTGTTTCCCAGAGTTTGAATAGTAAGCTTGCTGCTTGATTATTTTTAGCATCAAAATGACTGTGAGAGTTTTTGCTCTTGATGTAGATAGTACATATCCATAACAACAAACATAGACGGGGATGTTAGTTACTTTAGGATGCCTAGATTACATGCAGTGCAAGCTGATAGGATGCAGCAACCCGAGAATACTGTTGAGCTTGATTTGAGGCCTTGCTCTTGCCTCTATTTCCATGCAGGCAGGCACACTGCTAGTGTCTTTGATGGTGTCTGATATAAGTCACAGCATTCATCTGCAGGTAGTTCAGTGTGGAATCAGGGGCCCCGATCAGGAGACTGCTAGGAGGAGCTTCCCTGGTAAGCTCTTGCATATGATAAATATCAACAGAAGGCTTTGGGAACAGCATTCTGCAATTTATTCCACATAACTCCTGACAGATATGAGATTCATCAGTGGACTACTGAGTAAGTTTAGGAGTTGGTTTTAAAATAAATGAAATGCCAACTAAGAGTTCCGTACGAGGTGGCCAAGGCCCAAGGTATTTTTATTCTGCTTTGATATTAGCAAATGTGTCTGGGGATTCTTTTTCTTTCCAGCGCTGATGTGCGATACAGTAGAAGTAGTTTCTGTGTTCACTGTTCAGAGGGGGTCTTCAAGATGGATAGATACATGTGGCTGGGAGGAGCAGTCAGAAAAGATTTCTTTAGCTATTGAAAAAAGAAAAGACAAGATGTTACTTTTGGCCAGTAAAAGAAAAGATTGAGGACATGCAATTGAAGAAAATAAAGGTAAAACACACGGAGTGGCAATTGAGTCTGTTTCTGATGAGCATACACTTAAGTAGCTGGCATAAGGATCTATAGAGCTCTTCTAATGAAAGGAGAAGTGAAATACTTACAGAAATCTGGGCTTTCTGCATTAAGAGTGAGGAAGAAACAAGCAATCACAAGAAAATGAGAAAGAAAAGAAAAAAAAAAATCAGGCTCCAAAGAGAAGAGAATCTTTTTGGAGGTGACTTCCACTCTTCTGTGTGCTCTAGGCAAACTGAATGGACCCGGCTTGGGAGTGCTCTGGCAGCATCTTGCTCGGCTTTCTTTGCACATTTTGCCCCATTGTTGTTTTTGCAGTTTGGGCTTGTAAGTATTGCAGGGCATTACCTGAAAACTTACCAGGTTTCTTTTTTGGCAGGCATGGGTAAGAAGGATGACCCCAAGCTGATGCAGGAGTGGTTCAAGCTGGTGCAGGAGAAGAATGCCTTGGTTCGCTACGAGTCCGAACTGATGATATTGTGAGTGAATGTGCAAAGCTTCAAAAGGGGGATTATGTTACAAATAGTATTGGACGATCTGTCAGTATTGTCTTCCCTATAATGCCGGGGGTCAGCAGTCTCTTAGGCTGATTCTTGGCTGAGCTATGAACCCAAATATGTTTCAGAAGAGTGGTAGAAGAAGGAATAATAGCAATAAGGAATGAAAGTTCTTACTATTTGTGCCTGTGCAGAAGTACAGATGCGTGTTTAAAGCTCTGAGCCCTTCCCAAGCTGTTCTTGGATAAAACACATCTCGTTCACGCAAGTGTTTTTGAGCTATGCAGAAATAATGTGTGACTTCTCCTGGTTTTGGTAGAGTCCACTTTTAAGCGTAGCCAAAAGTGTTTAATTCAGTCACCTTTGCCATGTGGCCCTCTGCCTGTAGTGGGACCCCAGTGCCTCTCATTTGGGCTCAGATGATAAGGCTTTTTTTCTGTTAATGAAATTGGGAGCTTTCTCAGTCCTCATGCTGCAAATTCACTGAAATTCATTTCTGAGTATGTCAGCTGACCCAGGCAGTGTGGAAGCTGATCGTCTTAGTGCCTGTGTCAGAAAAGCGCCAAGGTGTTGTCTGCATTGGAATCTGAAAAGGCAATGGCCTGACATGTCCGTAGTTGATAAGTGACTTTGTCTTTAGAGCAGGAAGTGGCAGGAGATACATAGAGGTAAAGTATAATTTTGCAGTCATTGCAGATTTGTTTATTCCTTCACACCGTTTTAGATTTAATCCCACCCATAATCTGCTCAACTTCCTGTATTGCACTTCCTAGCTTGAAGGTAAAGAACCTGAGATGCTGAAAAAAGTACATTTAAATCTTAAAAAAATATAGTTACATATTTTAGGTGTTTTAAGAGTTGTTCCAAAACAGATTGGTAAAATGCATAGCAGGTATCTAGAGGGGGAGCAGAAATTGAGAATGGATATGAAGCAATGTATGGAGTATTTTAATATACCCATAACTTGGATTCCTGATGCTTCCCTTTCAGCGCTCGGGAGCTAGAACTGGAAGACAGGCAGAGTCGATTACAGCAGGAACTCCGGGAGAGGATGGCAGTAGAAGGTGAGAGCAAAAGGGAATATTTTATAGTTTGTATATTTCTAGCCTTGTGTATGCTGATAGTTTTTGATATCTCTGTAGATCATCTGAAGACAGATGAGGAGCTCTCAGAGGAGAAGAGGATCCTGAACGAGATGCTAGAAGTAGTGGAGCAGAGAGATTCTCTTGTGGCTCTCCTTGAGGAGCAACGGCTTCGAGAAAAAGAAGAAGACAAGGACCTGGAGGCAGTCATGCTTTCCAAAGGTTTTAGCTTGAACTGGTCCTGAGCTTAACACATTTACCTCTGCTGGTCTGTGTTGTCCAGTTGGCCTACCCTGAGTTCGCCAGAATTACATGGATAGGAAGATGTTGAAGGGGAAACCTCCGAAGGGTCCAACAGCATGCAGGGATTTGGTTTGAAGCACTCAGAAGCCTTTTGATAAGTGCGTTGGTTCCAGAAGCTTAAGTTTTACATGTCTGCAAGCCAAGTTGAAGATAATGAGTTGAGACTGTGGAGTCTCCTTGAGGTCCTACACAATGGACTGTATTTTGTGTGTGTGGTAGGAGGGAGAGGAATAATCCATGTGTGGGGAAGGAGGTTAAGGGAAGAAGTACCCTTAACTAAACTGGATTTATGGCAGTCCATTCCTTTCCTGTTTTTACTACACCAGTTCTAATAAAAGGGAGGGAAGTGGCAACCCTCTCTGGAAAACCACAGCAGCCTGTAGCAGCCTGTATGGTGGAGTCAGCTGTCCGAGAGAGCTCCAGAAGCCCAGGGCAACACTTTCTTCGCTTTAGTCTTCCTCCCCACCAAAGAAACCTGCAGTTGATCATTATGCATGGATATGAAGAAATATGAGACAGAGAAGATATTACTAGTATGTGTGATGGAACACTCTGCCTCCTGGTTTTTGAGAGAGATGTGGGCATCAGAGGACTCTCTCCCTATCATAGCCTCCTAAATCTTCTCGTGGGGAAAAAAGGGGAGAAGAAAAGAGAGGGAAGATGCCCTTCTGCTTTGCTATACACTGGAGAGACAGCTACTGTTGGCCTTAGTGTTCGTGGCCACAGCTCAGAGGCTGGTGGGATTCTTTGTTCTGGTTTTGTTGTGACTGTTTTGACACTGGAAAATACTGACTGTGGGACAGTGGTAAGTGTGTGCTGGGGCAGGGGTGTTACCAGGCGGCATTCCCTGGCTGTTAAGCCCCTAAAAGGGAGAAGCCCTTAAGTGACCGAACCACCATTACGACTTTTCAGTGTTTTTTTTTTTTTCCTCTGTATTTTGTTTTTGCACATTGGAAACGAAGCTTAAGACCTGCCTGGGCCCTCAGTCACTTTGACCCTTTTATGTCAATTAACTTATTTTTTTAATACTTGAAAGAAGATTCTTTTTTGTATCTTTTAGGAAAAAAATGGACGAGTGATGGGTGTGTGTACCTGCTGCATCCTACAACTTCCACTTCTAAATTACTGGACGTTGTTACCTGTGGCTATTTATTAGTGTTCTTATTAATAATTTGATTGTTACACATATATGATTGTGGAGGGAGTGTTTTAACTCTGTTAGAGAAAGACACTACTGTGGATTGGTCCCTGCTTCACAGCAAGGGCAGCCTTTATAGACCCATGGATGCATCCTGCCCTAGAAGTTTTCCTTCATGACAAAATCCTGCGCACTCATGGAGTTGTAAGAATCTATTTGTGTTCCTAGCATACTTTTCTTCTGCATCCCAGATTCCCTCTGTTGGACTAATAAACCTATAATTTATTTAAATTTTACATTTTCATAACAAGAAAGCCAAAACTGTGAGGCAGAAATATCCCATATGTCCCTCTCTCACTGAAAGAGGGGACCCTCACACTCCTGAGATACAGCTAGAGGGACTTCCATGAAAACAAAAATAGCACATTTCCTGCTGCATCTGTTGGAAGAAGCTCCTTTTGGCTCAGCTAGTGAAGCTGCTGCTTTTCAGCCAAGAGGGTACTCGTTGTAGTCATCTGTTAAGCAATGAGCAGGACATGCACTGAGCAATTCAGCACCATTCTCTGTTTGACAGATTCCCTGAGCACACTACGTCCTTAACTTGTCCCGCAGAGCTGAAATAGCACTGTGCGTTGGGTATGCGTCCCATCCTTAATGTGACGTGTTAAGAGTTTTTTTCCCCCCTTGGGATGTTGGCTATGTTCTTTTCTTGTTAAGGAAGTACTAAGCCTGCTCCCCGATGTCCTTGAGTGTTCCATTCCCAAGCGTATTCATACAGCATACTGACTCTTTCAGCTTGAACTTACGCTGTTGGTGCAAGGTACCCAAGCAGGGCTGAACATCCTTTATTCTTTTGCCCCAGGACAGAAGTTAGCATGGTTTCTTGCTGTTGGCTCTCTACCTCCTTCAGAGAGGTCTTCTGTAAGCCAGGGTCTATGATTTGAATTCACCTCTGACTCGGGAGCATACCTCAGGCTGAGGAAGAATGGGTAGGACTGTCCCCAGAGACTGAGCAGTGCTGGTTGTTAACTGTGGAAACATGTTTTTTCTGTCTCGAGTGTTCCCTTTATCCCCTCTGTTTGACAGATTCCCTGAGCACACTACGTCCTTAACTTGTCCCGCAGAGCTGAAATAGCACTGTGCGTTGGGTATGCGTCCCATCCTTAATGTGACGTGTTAAGAGTTTTTTTCCCCCCTTGGGATGTTGGCTATGTTCTTTTCTTGTTAAGGAAGTACTAAGCCTGCTCCCCGATGTCCTTGAGTGTTCCATTCCCAAGCGTATTCATACAGCATACTGACTCTTTCAGCTTGAACTTACGCTGTTGGTGCAAGGTACCCAAGCAGGGCTGAACATCCTTTATTCTTTTGCCCCAGGACAGAAGTTAGCATGGTTTCTTGCTGTTGGCTCTCTACCTCCTTCAGAGAGGTCTTCTGTAAGCCAGGGTCTATGATTTGAATTCACCTCTGACTCGGGAGCATACCTCAGGCTGAGGAAGAATGGGTAGGACTGTCCCCAGAGACTGAGCAGTGCTGGTCGCTAACTGTGGAACATGTTTTTTCTGTCTCGAGTGTTCCCCCTTTATCCCCCCCCCTAGTGTTTTCTGCTAAGGCATTACATATTAAATCCAGATGCTCATGAAACCAAGCAGGCAGGCAGCTGCAGTGCTACTTAGTAATTGTGCATGTTAGCAAGTGGTACCTGCTATACCAGCATCACAGAGCGTTGGCTTACCAACAGAGTATCCAACAAACAGAATTCCCCCGTTTGCCAGTGCAGGGGCCAGCTGCAGAAGTGAAATTGGCAGTGGTAGTTTACATAGTCTGCATGTGAGGGGCCAGTGGAAGCTGGAGAGGAGGAGGAAATAAAGAGGGAAGCTAGATACATAGTTTATTGTAAACTGTCTTGTGCAGAGAATTGGCCTCAGTCCGTTTTATAATGCACTAGGTATATGGACCACATCTAACTTTTAACAAAAGGTCATTGAATGTGAGCTGTAGAACAGAAAGAAATCCTGAAGAAGAAATACCAGTTTACTACTTTTCCCTTTCACGCTGGGGGACGCTGGCCAGATCTTTGCAATGCCGAAGAGTGGTATCACTTGAGGGTGTAATGCCCTATTGCAGGGGAAAACTACATATTCTAAAACTGAACTCTTTAGGTTACACTGAAGTCCTCCAGCAGCAAGAATGAAAATGAAGAGCTAAGATCGCACACACAAATTCATTAAAAATACATGAAAGGGAATGTTAAAAGGCCTTTTTATATCAAAATGGTTGAAAAAGGCACAACTTGTATTTGCTGTTCAGTTGCACTTTAAGAATATGACTTGCATATCAGATACTGGTTTTTTTTAATATCTGAATATTTTTAATTCAAATTTTATATTTTTAAAGCTGAAGAAGGCTCTTGTGACCACAAGATCCCTTATTTGTACCAGAATCCAAGTAGGATGTTCTAGCTCTTTGTGCTGCCCAGGTGGGCAGCAGCACATGACTCAGCCATGTGCATTCAATGACGTGTGTCCATTTCGCGTATGAGGGGAGTGAAAAGGCCCTTGGCTTCCGAGAAGTGGGCACGCAAGGGCATCCATCCCCACGTGACACGGTCCGTACCACGGGCTGGCCGCTTCCTCCCTGCAGTAGGTAGGAGGAGAGCAGAGCTTGGAACCTAACCTGTGTTCGTTTTGAAATGGGCACACTGAGGATGGGGCAAGCACTTCAGTCCCCTGCGGGGAAGGGAGGGGGGGATACTACCTCCTGGAAACACCCGGGAGGCAAATGGGGATGGGGGAGTGAGGACTGCCAAAACAACCAATCTGCTGTTTTCACAGTACAATTTTTTTTTTTAACTGTTCTGTTCCTTTTAACAATGTTTTCATTAAAACTCACAAATGGCTGTAAAATCCTGAGCTTCAAAGAACTATGCGTGGGGAGGAGACAAGACGTTTCAGCTCCAACTTCCAGACATATTCCTTCTTTCAGTTAACCAATACCCCACAGTCTCGCTAGGGCATGTTACAAACTGCGTTGCTGAACATATTTTAGAGCAAACCGCAAGTTTTAAAAGTCTGTCCTTCTCTCTATCCGTCTCTGCATTTTATGTATATATTTGTTTGTATGTAAAGACACCAGTGGATCCTTGGGTTACCCCCACGGTCAAGAATCTGAGTTTTGTGCAATGCCTAGGCCTCTCTTAGAACACGGTGCTTGCATAGAGCTAGTCACCACATTTGTGTGCACTCTGGTGGTTTTTAATATTTTTATACATCCTAATCCTGAACATTATGAAGTATTATAAGTGGTCTAGACTGCATGATCTAGAGCAGCCAGCAGTTCCATTTTCTTAGCAGCTGTTCCTAAAATGTTCACAGCTACACCTTGTTTAGTTAACATTCTTTTAAAATGAGTTTTCAATTAAGTGTTTACACCAGACACCAGTGGATGAGAAAGGTGTTGCATTGTAAAATCTCCTGTGTACAAACTGAAAAGCCACAATATGGCTTTATGGGAATTTCAGTCATCACTGTCTGCAATAAAGAGAACTCAAGCATACTAAAAACCAGCCTGTATATAGTTCACAGAGAAAGAGACCGCTGGCTCTCGACCGTTGCAAAATAACAGAGATCAGAAGCTTTCCAAAAGTTTCTGCTTTTGGATCGCTCAGAGTACTGCTATAGGCAGGGTAGCCGGGCAGAGGAGGATGTCACTGAAAGCAGATGTGAAGGGGAGGATGCCATGTTCTGATGGCACTGCAGTAATTTAAATGCTGTGTATCTGTGCGTGCACGCATGTGTGTGTGAAGTCTAATCCAGGTGAAGGGATCTGCTTTGGCGTCTTCCCTTTTGTATGAAAGCGAACTCTGATATTCAGATTGTTCAAGGCTTTTACGGTTGGCATGTATGGAGTGTTAACAGAAAAGTGTATACCCTACCTGTAAAAAAAACAACTCTGTTCCAGCCCGTTTTCTTCTGTTTGATTGTGTTTTATCGTTTGTTTTTATGCACACTTGCTTCGTTGGTGTTGAGATTTTAGCACCTCAGATGGCCAACTGAACTAAAAAAAAAAAAAAAATAAAGTCATTAATTATTTTTTCTTTTTGTTGGTGGAGTTACCATTTGTTTCCCTTGCGTTCACTCCCACGGTCGATGATTAAAGAGGAAGCTGGGAGCTGAGGGAAGGTGATCTTGAGATGAGTTAAAAAGCTAGGTGTTAAAGGGCCTGATTTCAATTTCTCTTTTGCTGGAATACTTGGAGCCCATCTGAATTATCTGAGATACAAACAGATCGACCTTGATACAGCCCTGATACATGGTCCTTCCTTCTCCATATTTTACATTGTTTCTTCAGATTTTCTCTGAAGAGAAATTACAATAAATAGCCAAGAAGTGGTGAAGGTTAATGTAAATTGAATTGTAAGAACTAGGATTTCATTTCTGTAGCTGTAGCTCACTTCCTTAGCCTGCAGCGCTAGCGTGAACATCTGACGCTGGTATAGCAGCGTTTACTAAAATAAGGAGTGAATGACATCAACGCCTCTGTGCCGACTTTCTGTGTTGTTTTAAGCCTCCACCACTCCATGCCCACATCTCCTCTGCACTGTGCCAGCTCAGGAAGGTTAGCTAAGCAATGTGCAGCTCCGGAGCTGTGCCCCTTGAACAGACTGGAAGGATTCAGAGGTTCAGCCTCACCAGCTTGTGTCTCAGACAAGGCATCTTGTCTGGGTATCTCCTGTTTGAAAAGGGCCGACGTTCAGCCTAAGTGGTGGGTGCTGGCTCCAGTAAACGTCAGGAGCTTGGAGCCCGGAGGAATGACATCCAGTCAGCAGCACTGCTGTCATTAAGTAGATCATGAGGGAAACCATAAGACTTTGTGCCTTTTTTTCAACAGGCAGAAAACACACAGGATGTTGTGGGAAATCCCACCCGGGGAAATCCCAAACAACGAGTCTTATTTTCCTGCCCGCCCAACCATTTTCAAAACAAAGGATAAACTCTGGTGTTTGTAAGGTGGTTGAATCAAAGCAGACCTATTACGGCAGCAGGGGGGATGACGGGCCTCGGATTTCCTCTTACGCAGTGCACGGAGGCCAGGGATGGCAGGCTGTGCTGCAGGTGGTAGGAGTGACACACCTCGCTCCTTCATTTGTGCAGCTCAGTAGGTCGGCAGTTCTTTGGGGACGTTTCAAACCCAACAATTCTTCCTGTCCTTTTGGTCTCTTGCTTTCAAATAGTGGTGGGAGAACGCTGTGGTTACCCAGGAGGGTTCTCTGGTGTCAAAAGGCCAATCCGCAAGGATTTCTCCCTTGATGCCAAAAGAGAAATGAATACATGGAAAGTGACCGCTGGACTCTGGGACACAGGAGATCGGCTCCCGTTCATAGCTTAGGAGACCAACCTTGTGACACTTCATCACGGCTTTTTAATTACACTATGAACTTGTTAGCCCCCGATCTCAATTAGGGACCCAGAGGTTCTGCTATTTTATGAACTACGGACGGAACAACCGCTCTCCTAGAGAGACCTTCCTGTA